CCTTCTTACTATTATCATTTATATTTCCTAACCTCCTAGAACATGTTGACCAAAACATTCTTGGATCAAGCTGTGCAAACACTTTTGACAAATATCTTTTAAGAAATAATTGCTTGTACAAGCTAAAATCTTGACCCTTGCTTTTTTGAGGAGTTAAACTTTTATAAGAAGCTGTATTGTCTCTTCAAAGTAACAGAAGCAGAGATTTTAGGCCAAGCTATAGTTTGATTTAAAATGGAGTTTGATTTAGATCTGGAGCAGCCATTTTAGTCATGCTAAGTGCCTCAGTTTTGGAGTTTGCTTGTACACTACTTAAGTGAAGATACTTCATAAGGTTTTTTTTTTTTTTTTCTTTTTGGATGACAAGGGTGACCATAGTTGACTGACAACAGAGATAAATCATGTTTGTGTGATTTAAATTGTCTCAAGTTTAGAAACCAAAGCTATACAAAGTAGTCATCATACCTGAGAGAAGACATTAGACTTACTTGATAGTTGAATTTCTGGAAAGTTCTTAACTCAAAGAGATCTGGAAGGTTATTATTCTTTTTCTGTTACCTTCTAAATATAAAAATACTATATACTCACTGTAGAAAGCTTGACAAATAAAAAAAATTAGAAAAGAAGAAGTCACCCAAAGTTGTACTACCCCAAATTAACTATGGCTAATATTCAGGTAAGGCACTCTGATGGTGCAGTGCCTAAGACATTTGAAAGTTAATGGTTCAAACCTATAAGCCACTCTGCAGCAGGAAGATGGAACGATCTATTTCTGTAAAGATTTAATACCACAGAAACCCACTAGGGGTCATTGTGAGTCGAGATCGACTTGATGGCAGTGAGTTTGGTTTGGTTAATATTCAAGTGAATTTTCTTATGCTTATTTTCCTATATGGAACATGTATCACAAACAGAACTTGACTAAAAAGTCCTTATGTGAAGGAGGATCTTACCTTGTAACACTTGCTCTGGATACTAGAAGTTTAATATATGTAAAAATGTTAATGATGTTATCTCTTGGTACTGTCAAATGGTTTTTCAAGCTTCTGCCTTTTATTGACATATTTTCTAAATTTTCCACAGTGAACAAAAAGATTTTTTTTTTTTTTTAAATATAGTAATCTTGGTACTTGGTGATAGCTTCTACTAACATTTTGTTATATAACCTTGTAGACTATTTCTTTTGTGTGTGTGTGTGTCCCCATAC